TCCTGGCCTGGGGGTGCCTAACTGGACCTGCCTCCAGCGAGCTGAGCTCTGACCTGCCCTTGTAGCTGGGCAGAAGCTGCCCCACCCACCCTTTCCCTGCCCTCCACTGCTGGAAAGGGCGGAGAGGACCCCCCCCCCCCCCCGCCCAGGCTCCCTGAGGAGCTCTTGCACACTTTTCACTCTGCAAGGCGAATCTTCGCCTTCACTGGCAGCTGGAGGCTCTGTTTTCAAGTGACCTTGGCCCAAGAGGCCCCGGTTTCCTCCTTAAAGGTTCTTCGCTTGACTTGGCTTGGAACAGCATCACCTCATCGAAGGATGTGCGACCTCCAGGAGGGCTCCACGGTAGTGAAGCAAGCCATTTGATTTTTAAAACATTTGACAAAGGGCCCAAATGCGTTGGTTTTTCAAACAAAGAAGTTCCATTAGTCAGTTCCTGGGTCCATGGGAGGGTGCAGTGCCCAGTGTCTCTCGAGATCCCTGGGGGAATGCAAGGCAGGAGGTTGTGAACCGAAGCGTGAGGAAGGCTGTCCTCCAAAGGACAGCCAGCCACAGAGGTGGGGGAGGGGGAGGCGGAAAGGGGGCTCTAGGGTGCTAAGGTGGGCATTGTCAGTTGATGCAGACTCCGGAAAAAAAAATACTGATTTCCTCAACAAAAGGGTCGCCTGAGCCTGCCAGGAGTGATCCCTGAGCACAGGAGTGATCCCTGACCACTGCTGATGTGGCCCCACCCCCACCCTCAGCTCCCAAAAAAGAAGTTGCTGTGTGTGAGTGTGTGTGTGTGTGTGTGTGTGTGTGTGTGTGTGTTAATGGCTCAGAGAACAGGCTTGGTTTTGGGGTTTGGTTTGTTTTGATTTGGGGCCACACCCCACAGTGCTCAGGAGCTGTTCCTGGCTGTGTGCTCAGGGATTGCTCCTTGAGGTGCTCAGGGGCCCACACAGTGCTGACAGGGAACCGGGGCCTCCTGCGTGCTGAGATGTGTCAGCCTGATGCATGCTGTCCCTCCCAACAGTGGACACACATACAAACTGTAACTGCAGGAGGCGGTTCGCGCATCAGACGTGCGCATCAAATCAAGCTTACACAAAATCTGTGTCAGTCAGGGCTGGAGAACCGTGTTGAGTTTGAATCTGGCTTGAAGCTGTGAAACTCTGGGGGCTGGGGAACCTAGGGTCCCCCAGATGGCAGTAGTGCCTTTCTTGGCCAGCAGGTGGCACTGTTCTCAGGGGCGGGCTGTGGGGGGAGGGGGTTTGGAGTAAATCACCATGGAGGGGAGGGGGGGGAGGCCTCTAGGCTCCCTTGAGACTGGGTCACTGTCTCCCCAGCCAGGAGACTCAGCCAGGCCCTGACCTACTGCAGGGTCTCCCCAAGTAGGCACTTTTGGGCCTCAGTTTCCATACCTGTATCAGATGCAGTCAGCCAGCTCAGGGGCCAGCTGCTGAGCCAACCCCATGGCCCCCACAGGCCTGTGGGACCTTCTCAACCTATAGAGCCCCTCTGGGGTGCTGCCTGCCACTCCCAGGGTGCGGGGAGGATCAGGGTTGGGGGTGCCTAGAATGGTCCAGCCTCTGGGGGATATCCTGAGGGATTCTGACACTTCCCAGTGTCCCTCCCCCAATCCCCTGGGGACCCAGGGATGTACAGGTGAGAAGCAGGGGCCCCAAATGGGGCTCAGGACGCAAGCCCCTGGGGAGGGGTCTCACTTTCCTTGGCCAGGCCTCCATCAGGGGTCACTCTGGCCATCATTGTGAGGCTGGAAGGGCAGCCCCTTTCTGGGCCCTTCAGGAATCCCAGGAGGTGGGGCCAGCTCCAGCTCTGTGGATCTTGGATGACTTGTCTCCCCTCCCCCAGTGGCTGCAGGATCCTCCCAGGAAGGTTAGTCACCAAGTCATCCCACCAAGGAAATGGTGCTTGTGTACTCTGAGGACCGGCCAGCAGGCTCTGCAGTTACTTAGGGTCTGCTCCGGGCTTTTCTGGGGATGACCACCCCCAGAATGAAGATGCAGTTCCCATTCTGGCCAGGTTGGCATGCCTGGCAGAGTGCATAGGAGGGCCCCGTCCTGTGCCTGTCCCAGGGACACCCACAGCCATCGTCTGGGGCTTGCACTGTAAATCATGGATCGCGGAGAGCAGAAGAACAACTCATCTGCGCCCCATATGCCAGGGATCTGTGCTCTGGAGTGCTGGGCAGCAGCTGCATGCCAGGGTCCGCCCCCTTGACCAACTGAGATAGTCCTGGGTGAGGACTGTCTCACCCCCCAGGAGACTTTAGGGAGCTCAGAGGCTGCTGCTCTGGCCATGGCTCCTGTGCATGGGGGGTGTTAGTCACTGCAAGAAGTGGGAGAAGATTGTTCTCGTCTGAATCAAGCGTCAGCAGCAGGAGGCAGTGAAGGAGGGTGTCACGCCCCTGTGAAGAACTCGGGGGATGGGGGAAACAGCACAAGCTGCACCTGGGAAACTCGAGGGGCTGGCAGGGGTGGGAGCGAAGGCGCAGGGCCCGTCTCGCTGCCCGGGGACTGTGACCTGGGACGCGCCTCAGTGACGCCTTTCCTGACCCATCCCCAGAGCTGGTGTAGCCTGGTGCAGTGCTACAGGTCATTTTCCTTCACATAATGGAGAAGGAGAAGCGGCTCTTTGTGGCAGAAAATGGCTTTGTGAACCCATCACCTGTAAGAAGGACATCAACATCTGGCAGAGAAGGGGGGACAGCAGGTCGGGATGATAGCAGACTATAGTAACAGACTGGGTGACAGGCAGACTGGGGTGACAGGATGGGTGATAGGATGGTGATATGCAGGTCAGGTAACAACACACTAGGAGACAGAGTGGGTGATGGGCTGGGTGACAGGCTGTGGTGACAGGCAGTGACAGGCTGTGGTGACTGGCTGAGTTATAGGCCATGGTGACTGGTTGATTGACAAGCTGGATGACAGGCTGTGGTGACTGACTGACAGGCTGAATGACAGGCTGGGGTGACAGGCTGGGTGACAGGCAGGCTGCTGAGGAGACACTGGCCTGTACTCTTCGACATCGAGCGGGCCTTCCTGATGTGTCTGGATGCTCCACGCTTTGGGGGGTCACAGCACTCTGAGGCACAGGTGAGCCACTCCCAGCCAGTGTCTTTGCCATTGAATTGGAGCCCTGGGGCTAGAGAGGGTCCCACACAGCTGAGACAGGCGTCTGCTCAGGCCCTTGAGTCCAGCACAGGTGTCCTGCAGCACGGGGGCCAGCCTGGGCTTCTAGGGACTTGGGGGAGCTGCTGGCTCGGGGGCGGGGCCGGGGACTGGCGTATGAGGAGAAGGAGTGGCTGAAACTGCTGGGGAGGGGCGTGCAGGGAGGGCTGAGGGCTCAGCATGAGGGGGTCCCACTGTGGGGGCTGAAGAGGTTCCACATGGGGAGGGCGTGGAGGTTCGTCCCGTTTCTCTCATCTGGGTGAGGGACCCCACTTCCCGCTCTATATGACATGTATGTGTGTATCAGATGATGTGTGTGTCTGGGTGACTGGCTGGCATGTGTATGTATGTGTGTGATGTGCTGGGTGTCTATGTGTATCTGAGTGACTGACTCGTGTGTGTGTGTGTGTGTGTGTGTGTGTGTGTGTGTGTGTGTGCAATGTGCTGGATGTCTATGTCTGGTGACTGATTCCTGCGCACGTGTGTGTGTATGTGATGTGCCTGGGTGTCTGTGTCTGTGTGACTGACTTGTGCATGTGTGTATGTGTGTAATGTGCTGGGTGTCTGTGTGACTGACTCATGTGTATGTGTGTGTGTGTGTGCGTGCAATGTGCTGGGTGTCCGTGTGTGTCTGGGTGACTGACTTGTCTGTATGTCTGTGTGTCTGAGGGCGTGGTCTGAGCCCCCATCCCTCCAGCCCAGCCCTTCTTTGGGTGCCTGGTTGGCGGTGGCAGCAATGAGATCTCGACTCAGCTTCTGTCGCGGTTGCCGACTGGCTGGGGATTGGTCGCGCCGCCCCGGATGATGCAGCAGGAGCCCTCTCCAACCCTCTGGGGCTTCCCGGAAGTTTAATTACTGAGTAATAAGTGTTGGAGATTGCTCTGGTCCCAGAGAAGCCCCAGTGTGTTCTAATCACCCCTGAGCCCCGAGGCGGCCGCCAGCCCCGGGGGGTCAGCTCAGCAGTCCATGCGGCTGGCTCGGGGTGGGGAGGAGGGCCGGGGTGCACTCGGGGCCTGGAGCTGACCCTGTATGAACCTGAAACCCCAGGCGACAGGCCAGACGCCTGCCAGTGAGGAGAGAGTGGCTCTGGAGGACAATGTGGAGAACAAGGGGGAGACCTCCTGCAGAGGCAGTGAGGCCCCTGGACTGCATGAGCCTCCATCCCTCAGAATGCAGGTGGGAGAGAGGGGAGCAGGTCTGCTTTGGTCGGGGACAGGGATGCAAGGGAGGGGAGCCCGACACAGTGGGGGGTGTGTGTGTGGGGTGACATTAGTGACAGGTGAGCCCAGAAAACTCAGCCCTGGGAAGGGGTGGGTCAGATCGCATCGGAAGGGGGGTGTCAGTCCTGCTGCCCTGAAGGAGGGTTAGTCCAGGGCGAGGGACTCTGCATGCACAGGTATGTGTATGGGCACACGTATGCACACCTATCTCAGTATCGAGTGCACGTCTCCATTGCATGCTTGTGTGCTTATAGGTCATGAGTGTGTGTGCATGTCGGTATTACACGTGTGTGCATACATATGGGTCCATGTGTGTGCATGTGTGTGCATAGATGTATGGGTGCGTGTGTGTGTGTCTAGGTATGTGCTCGTGTGTTTCAGTATTGCATGCATGTGTGTGCCTGCACATGTATGTGTGGGCACGTGTGTGCACACATGTGAGGGGGACGCCTTATTCAGTGGTCACCCTCTCCTCGGTCCAGGAAACCTGAACTCAGCTCCCTAGCCCCCTCACCCTTGCCCCTCCCGGGCTGGGCACATGTGGAGGGGAGGGAGGGTGCAGGCAGCGGGAGACCGCAGCTGTCAGCTCACCTGCCTCCCTGTGCCACAGGCCCTCCTCCTCCTGGGGCTGAACCCCGCCTCGGCCTCCCTCCAAGACCAGCCCTGCGAGAGCCTGGCCCTGCCCAGCAACTTCTCGGGTGAGTCCCTCCCTGGCCCCACGGGCTTGGCTGCCAGGGCTGTGCCCAGAGCCTGGGCTGCAGTTGGGAACCCAAAGAGCCCCCGAGTCCCCCTTCCCGAGGGCTGTGCCGACAGTGGTAGTCATGGACACTGGGGGGCACGTGCCAAGGGAGGCAAGTTGCCCCACAGCTGTGCAGGGTTGAGCCAGAAGCGTTGGCTGCTGGGAGGGTGGGCAGGGCTGCCGTGGCCAGGGCCCACGCGGGAGAAAGCTGTCATTCCAGGTGCCAGCCCTGCGGGGGGCTAGGGGAACACGAACCCAGTTTTCAAAATGGCCCTCTGAGGCCAGTGACCTCTGTCTTACACAGAAGAAAACTGAGGCCCAGAGAGCTACTCATGCCATGCATGACCCCGGCAGTCTGGCTCTGGGCCGCCCTCCCCCACCAGGCCCTGCACTGTGTAGCAGCAAGCAGGACTGCCGCCTGCGGGACCCCATGACTGTACTGCAGAGGCTTTGGAGTAACAGCCTGTCTCACCCTCACATGTGTCTAAAGCCCAGCATGGCTACTGAAGGGAAGCCGAGGAAGCGGGAGAGTGGGGGTGCGGTGTAACCCCCCCTCGGATCTACTTCCTGTGTTTGAGCTCCCGAGGCAGGGGGCTGGGGTAGGGCTGCCGCCTGGCAAGGAAGGGTCTTGGCAGGGCAGGGGGTGGGGGCTGGTGCTCTGTGAATTCTGTCCACCTCCTGCAGAACACTCAGCACGCGACTAAATGTCTTCACCCTTGACAGGCACACGAGGCAGGTATCACGTGTGTCCGGGCAAAGTGAAAGGGCCGCATGATCCGGCCAGGCGGGATATGAGCTGTGGAATGCACCCATGCTGCAGATTTGGCTTTGGAAGCTGAGCTAGCAGGGCAGAGGGGGAGCACCGCCTCTGGTGGAGTCTGGGCAGAGGGAACACTGCCTCTGGGGAATCTGGGCAGGGGAAGCACTGCCTCGAGGAGAGGCCAGGCAGAGGGAGCATTACCTCGGGGAAGCTGGGCAGGGGGAGCACTACCTCAGGGAGGCCGGGCAGGTGGAGCACTGCCTCTGGGGGAGTATGGGCAAAGAGAGCACTATCTCTCGGGGAGGCTGGGCCTGGGGGAGCACTGCCTCTGGGGGAGGCTGGGCAGGGGGAGCACTACCTCTGGGGAAGCCGGGCAGGGGGAGCACTGCCTCTGGGAGAAGCTGGGCTGGGGGAGCACTACCTCAGGGAGGCCGGGCAGGGGGAGCACTACCTCTGGGAGAGTATGGGCAAAGAGAGCACTATCTCTTGGGGAGGCTGGGCCTGGGGGGAGCACTGCCTCTGGGGGAGGATGGGCAGGGGAGCATTGCTCGTGGGCCTGTCAGGGTTAAATACATTCAGTCTCATGGCACTTTTGCAAACCATGAAGTCCCTCACCACTGCTGCTTTCTTCGTTATTTGTTGGTAGCATGAACAGGCTTGACACACTGATTTCTGTGTAGCTGGAATAAGGGGATGTTACTGGCCGTGGATTATCCCCCAGGGGAATGGTAAGAGTCAGTCAGGGAGGGTGTGAATCCAGAAAGGCTACCTGGAGAAGGAGGAGGTGAGACTTCGAGCTGATACCAGTCCAAAAGAACCAGTGCTCTGAGCCAAGGTTCTTTAACTGGGTGCCAGTGAATCTGTTTGCTGGAAGGGCAGGGCAGAGGTGAGGAGGGAAAGGCAGAATCCTGGGAGCTACTGACACCAGGAGCACCTGGGCCAGTCTGCAGCCTGTGAAACTGGGAAGATCCTGAGCCAGAGTCTGGAGTTCTAGGGCCTAGGGAGAAGGAGCAGAAGGCTGGAGCACATGCAGAAGCCCCCGGTTCAGCACCCCGCACCACGTGGTCCTCTGAGAGCTGCCAGGAAAGCCACTGGACACTGCGCTGATGTGGCCTCGGAAATAAACAGCAGAATGAGAGCGTTCCTGCAGAGGGCAAGGAGGATTCCCGCCCAAGCAGGGACCGGCTCCATTAATGTGCTCGCACTCGGGAGCCCACCAGGGTGTCGCCTGTTCTTGGTGGACGGTGCTCCCTCCCCTGTGCTGCGTCCTCTGGATTCCACCTGTCCCAGCAAACAACCCGTCACCCTCCACGACAGTCTCTGACTGGGTTATTTCTCTCCCGAAGCTGAGGCCTGCTGGACTGATGGGGCCTGGCAGAGACAGATGGCGAGGGTGGGGAGAGGGGCAGGGACAGATGGATGCGCCCGGCTGGGGCAGCTGGTGCTGAGCCCGGGCCTGAGGCCCTCCTGAGTGCCTAGTGCCAGGAGCAGGAGAGGCCCCGCGGGCCACGGCTCCGTTCTGCCACAGACCGCAGGCCTGGAAACTCACGGAACCATGGCAGGAATATGGCAGAACCACATCCCGGGGTGAAGAACCAGTGACACCTTGGAGCAGCAGAGTCACGTTGCCAGCAGGCCCCAGCTCACTGACCCCTGTCCTGTCTCCCGATGTCGGCACTAATGTTGGGGGTTTCGTTAGCACACGCCCCTCCCAGCTACTTCCATCTCCTTAACCCTCACAGAGGGGAAGCTAAGGCTCAGAGAGGTCACCTGCACACATAGCAACTCAGCAGTGGCCCGCAATTTGAGCCATAAGGGTCTGACCCCAGACTTCCCAGAGAGCTGAGGGACCCGGGGCCCAGTGTGGCCAGTTATGCCAGAGTGCAGAGTCTCCATTGCTGTTTCTTGTCTCCGGATGGGTTTACACACTGCTCCCAATTTTCCTCCAGGCCTACTGGGTCCTGTGCTGTACTAGGAGCTGAGAATGAGAAAGGGGAGCACCCACAGAATCACAGGACAGGTCATCTGCTGGTCCAGAGCCACAGAACAGGAGGTCATACACTGCTCCACAGAGTAGGAGGCCACATGCTGGTCCACAGAACCACAGAGCAGGAGGTCACGTGCTGATCTATCCATAGAACCACAAAGCAGGAAGCCACGTGCTGGTCCACAGAACCACAGAGCAGGAGGCCATGTGCTGATCTGTCCGTAGAACCACAAAGCAGGAAGCCACGTGCTGGTCCACAGAACCACAGATCAGGAGGCCGTGTGCTGATCTATCCATAGAACCACAGATCAGGAGGCCACATGCTGAGCTGTCCGTAGAACCACAGAGCAGGAGGCCACGTGCTGGTCTACAGAACCACAGTGCAGGGGACCACGTGCTGATCTATCCATAGACCCCTAGAGTAGAAGGGCCACGTGCTGATCTGTCCATAGAACCACAGAGAAGGAGGCCATGTGCTGGTCCTGATGGACCACAGACCCCACAAAGGTCTCTTTCCTTTCTGCCCCAAAAGAGAAGGTGAGCGAGCCCAGAGAAGGGCTTTGACCTGGCCTCTGCCCCACCTCGTGCGTTGGTGCCAGCAGCCCCGTCTACATGAGCAGGTGCGCCTGTGCCTGAAGCTGTCCTTGCCGAGCAGCCTTGAGGGAGGAGGGCCTTGCTGGGCTTAGCCAAGGCTGGGTGGGCTTCCTGTAGGACCTCCAGGGCCTCCGAGGACAGGACCATGCTTCATTGCACTTGGGACCAGTCATCATGGGGCACGCAGGGCATGTACGTAGGGAGAAATCCCAGACCCCATCCACTCTGACATGCCCTGCACAGCCTCCTGCCCAGATCCCCTTGACCCAGGCTGTGGGTGGGCGGGGAAGTCCTGGCAGGAGACTTCCCTGAGAGGCGCTCAGGGTGTAGCAAAACCTATAAAACAGTTGAGCTGGGGAGCCTAGGAGGTTGGCATCCTCTTGCCCAGAACATGACCCAGGCTGGCCGGCCATTCTATCCTGGACCTCTGGGTCTCACCTTTCTTTTCCTTCCTCAGTTTCCTTGTCTGGAGACATGACCTCCCCCATCCACCTTTCCACCAGCCTCGGCACTAGGCCTGATGCAAGCAAATGGCCCATCCCCCCATGCATACCTCCTGGAGACCCCATGCCACCGTCAGAGGCCCTTGTGTGGCAAAAGCCAGGGCTCACCCACCCATCTGGCTGCCCTTGCCTCCCTTAGCCCCAGCCCAGCCTCCTTTCCCTTCTGATGAAACCTTGCCCCCCACCCCAATTTGCATGAGCACCCCTGAGTAACTGGTTCAAGGGAGAGCCAGCCAGGACAAGCCCAGCTGTGCACTGAGCCCCTGGACAGAGACCGCCCTGAAGCACAGGCATGGCCTGAGAAAGCCAGACTGCTGTGGACACGTTCTGTTGAAGCAGGAGGGGCAGTGTGGTGAGGGGGTCCCCGACTGTCCTCAGCCCAGCCCTCGCCCTTGGGAGACCAAAGCCAGCCCACCTCTCCACACACTCACATCCACCCCTGCACACACACACACACCTGCACACCTACAGACTCAGATATACACACTCACACACACTGTATACTCATGCACTCATACACACACACACACACTCAGACCCACCCTTGCACACTCACACACCTGCACACTCATGCACTCATATGTGTACGCTCACACCCACCCCTGCACACTCACCTGCACATTCTTATATATACATGCGCACATCCACCCTTGCACACACACATCTGCACACTCACGCACTCTCATACACTCACTCACACCCATGCCCTCCCCGACATAGCCACAGACCTGCACACTCACAGACTCCCCCCTCTGCACACTCTGCACACAGACACACTCTCATCCATACTCACACACTCCTGCAGACTCACCCCCACACACTCACGCACACTCACACTCTCACACCCACACTCCAAAAAGTGGATTCAGGGCCGACATCTGCCAGGACCCTGGTTTCTGCTCTCCAGTTCAGATTTCTGTCCTTGTGGGCTTCCCTTTGGGAATCTACTGAGAACCTCAGAGCACATTCCCAATTCAAGTGATACAGAGAAACCATTTTTTAAGGCTTTTATTTTTTTTATTTGTTTTGAGGCCACAAAGGGCAGTTCTCCGTGTTTACTCCTGGTTCTGCACTCAGGAATCACCCCTAGCAGGCTCAGGGGACCACATGGGATGCCAGGGTCAAACCCAGGTCAGCCATGTGCAAGGCCAGCACCCCACCTGCTGTACTATCGTTCCAGCCCCGAGTAGAACAGTATTTCCATTTATCTCAGTCACTGTGAACCTCTAATGCTTCCTAAAATTCAGAATTTCGATCTGGTGCAATGATTCTGCTTTTGTACAGAGGAAAACACAAAGGCTGTGAGGGGCAGAGGGCAGAGGGCAGAGGTCACTGGCATGGGCTCGTGAGCAGCAGGTCCGGGTTCCTCTGTGTCTAGCCCAACCCCCGGAGGGCCCTTTCTCCCCGAGAGAATGTCCTCCCTGAGCTCCACCTGCTGTCTGCCCCTCTCTGCCCTGTGCCCACACTGGCTCCTGCCCTTCCCGGGTGCGTGCTTTCGGTCCGGGGGGGGGGGGGGGTAAGGTGCTCTGGAGGCTCCCGCCCTGCCTCAGTGCCGCCTCTGCCCCCAGGTCTGCAATGCAACGCCACGGTGGACCTCATTGGCACTTGCTGGCCGCAGAGCCCCGCAGGGCAGCTGGTGGTACGGCCCTGCCCCGCCTTCTTCTACGGCGTCCGCTACAACACCACGAGTGAGTGAGCCCCAGCCCAGGACAGGGAGAACAAAATGCCCAGAATGGTGATGCCACAGGCTGCAGACGGTCTCTGAAGGCCACAGAGCCCACCACTGCCGAGTCTCTGCGTGCAGTACAAGACACAGTGACCCTTGGACACAGGGCTCGGGTCCCGGGGGAAACCGTTCAAGGTCACCGGCTCCCACGGGGTGGGGGGGTGGGGCTGGAATCCGCATCCCATGCCTGAGCTGGCGGGCCAGCCCTGTCAGGCAGAGCAGCGGCCACTCTAGCTGGCCCTGAGCTCAGAGGGGCGAGGGCTCCTGCTGGATTCCCGCAGGGTGTGGGTGGGGCTGCTCTGATACCTGATCCCAGGTAGCCGCCAGCTCCTCACCTGCCTCCCAGAGGTCTGACCCTCAAGCTGGGGCTTTGCAGGTTCCTGTGATGCCACCTGTTACCCCAGATTTAATTTGCAGTCCCCTGTCAGTGACTCACCCCTGATTATCGACAAAGCCACAGCTGCAGGCCGGGGGCCCCTGGCCCCCACAGGGGAAGGTGGGGAGCCCTGGGCGGGCCTGAGCTCAGCTCCTAGGCGGGCAGCAAGGCCAAGCAGACACCTGGAGGGTCCACGCCAGCCTGGGCTGTAGCACACTCCCAAACCCCCACGGAAGATGGAGCGGGCAGGACGGCATGGAAGCGGCCCAGTTCCATACACCCACCTGCCGCTCTACCATCTCCTTTGTCCGGTGGATGGCAGGGTCAGGCTGCAGCTGGGAGACCCCTGGGCCTGGGTGGCACCTCTATGCCTCTGCACCCCTGTCCAGGGCCCAGAAGGAAGGGGAGACTGTGGAGGGGGGTGGCGAGGGGAAGGGCAGAAGGACTCGAGGAGGGTGTGAGGGGCATGGTCAGGTGGAGTCCAGCTCAGGGACCACTTCTCAACAGGCACGATCGGGCTGAGAAGCTGCTGGGCACTTGGTGCAGCACCAAGGCTGGTTCTGAGGGGACAGCCCTCTGCTCGGAGGGCAGAGGGCCCCGAGGGTGAGGGGTTGGTCAGCGCTGAGGTTGCAGCACAGAAGGCAACTCCCAGAGTGGACACTGTACCCCGACGTGGTTTTCAACTCTGGTCCCTCTGCTGTCCATGCGGTGACTCTGCCAGGTGCCTCACCCTCTGCCTGGGCCATCCTGTGGGGCTCCCCACACCCTCCCCGAGTGGGGCTCTGTCCAACCCCCAGCCCACAGACACACGGGACTGGCTGGACAGCTGCCCCCAGGGCCCGCTGCCTTCCATGGGGACAGGACCTTGGGTTCTTTTGCTTCTGGCCCTCTTGGGGCTCACATCCCCGCCTGCAGGGGGTGGCGTAAGGGGCTCTCTTCCCTGCAGCCCCCCCGAGGTGGGGGCAGGGCTGGAAGACCCCCGTGCCCAACCGATCAGGAGTATGCACGCGGGTGGGACTGGCTGCGGGGATCCTGGGGCTGTGTCTCCTCATTAGGCCCCAATCGACTCATTTGCGGCTGAGAAGCAGCCGGGACACCCAGGCCTGCCTCCCGCCGCCCCCCTCCCGCTGCATTTCCAAAAATACCCACGTTCCCGTGATCCCCCGCGCGCTCCACTCGGCAATTAAAGACAAGGCAAACGCATCTTCCTGGCAACCAGAGCCGCTGAGGCTGGGCCCGTTACCCGCAGGGCTTCCTCCTCCTTGCCCCTCCCCGCTGCTCCCCGCCCATGTGGAAGTCCACGCACCCTGTGGACCCGGTTCCAAGAGGCCAAGCGGCCTCACTCCCAGCAGTGCCCCCTCTGAGAGGCGCTGGGGACATGTTCTGAATCTTACCAAGGTTATGTAAATGCACCCGAGACAATAATAACACAAAGAGCCGCACCCGCACCCCGCACCCCAGGGGAGCCCACCAGTCCTCCCCGCTCCTCAGAGACGCAGCAGCCCGCTAAGATGCTTCCCCCAGCATGGACGACGGAAGCCTTGAGGTTACCCAAAGTCAGCACCCGCAGGTGGGCACCCTGTGAGCCCAGGCCAGGGACCTGCCGCTGCTTCTCAGGCCAGACCTGCCCGTCCCACACCCACCTCTGCCCCCCACGTTCCTTTCATGTTGGTAGCCACGACTCTGCGCTGCCCAGTCTCTGAAAAGAGAGTGTATGCCCTCCACACTGGGCGAGCCCCCCAGCCCCAAGGAGACTCCACCGCAGCTAGGCCAACTCTGCCCAGGGGCTCAACTAGGGCTTGGCTTTGGGTCCTAGGGTCAGGCTGGGGGGGGGGGAGGGGGAAGCACCTGCCTCCCACTCTCTACCCAGGCCGCTCCCAGGCCCATGAGCCCGGGGTCTTGGCAGCTGAGGCTGAGTCTCAGGCGCCCAGAGCAAGGCTGAGGCCCCCACACTGTGCTCAGGGATGGAAACTAGGCCCAGGAGCAGGGTTGGGGGGCACAGGACTCACTACCCCTCCAGCCTGGAGTCATGGAAGCCCCTTTAGGGGTGCTGGTGCTGGGCAGGGGTAGGGGCTGCAGGCGACCCTCTGCTGGGATGGGAGCAAAGCTAGAGATTTGGCAGTATCCTGGGAGGGCCACACCCTGGGCTGGGGACAGAAGAGGGTACAAGGGGATGGAGGGTCATGGTGCCACCGCAGAGCCCAGACCTCGTGCAGACCTGGAGGAACCTCTAGACTGTGGCTGTGGGGACCCCTTCCCGGGCTGCTGCTTCCTCCTGATCACAGTGGGAACCCAAGACCCCCTGAATGAGATGAGAGGAGTGGCCCAGCCCCCTAGGCCCAGCCCCCCAAACCATCCCAGCCCCCCTCGTCTACACACTCCCAGCCTCCCCCCCCACACACACACTCCTGATCTGCCTTTCTCTGTCGCGGGAGATTGTGCATAGACACCCCCCCCACCAAAGCCGGCTGTGAGGGGAGACCCTAGGGACCTGCCAGGAGCCCCGCCCTGTGCCCATGATGCCATGTAAGGGCCCCCCATGGGAAGCCCCTCCACAGCAAAACCCATCATTTCAGGGCGTCTCAGCCTTGCACTGGGGACCGTGGAACACGTTCTTTTCCCAGGAGACAGCCCCAGTTCTCAGAAGCCCACGCAGCACCTGAGGCTCCCAGGAAGACAGCCCAGGGGCTGGTGAGGCCAGTCCAAGGACCGTGGCAGTGCTGCTCAGAGGGCAGTGCTGGGGCCTGCAGATAGGTGTTGGGCTCCCCTGTGCCCTGGCCAGTGTCCGAGAAGTAGGAAGCTCGGGGTCAGGGGACAGGCCTCCCCCTGGCTTCCCCACCCCCCGGGCCCCCTGCAGGCAGGCCTGTGCGCAGGCTCAGAAAGGAGGTGGGGAGATGCCAATGGGTGGGCAGGGAGGAGGGGGACATGGGTGGACGGGGACTGGCCAGGAGGCAACTCCACTCTCTCTTGCAGACAATGGCTACCGCCAGTGCCTGGCTAACGGCAGCTGGGCCGCCCGCATCAACTACTCCGAGTGCCAGGAGATCCTCAACGAGGAGGTGAGGCTGCGCCCTGGGCCAGCAGCAGGCTCTGGGGGGTGGGTGGGGGGTCAGCAGCTAAGGTGCTGGGGTGCTGGCGCTTCCTTCCAGAAGCTGCAGGGCTGAGAAGGGGGTGCCGGGCAGCAGGGTACAGGCGATCCTGGACCCCAACAGTCAGGTGGTATGACCGGGACAGAGGGAGCGCCACCTGGCAGCACCCACAGCGCAAGCCCCTGTGAGGTGTCCTGGTGGGAGTTGACACTGACCTCATGGGGCAGCCATGGGGTCTCTGGGCGGCTGGGGAGGGAAAGGAGAGTGGGAGGCGCTGTCAGCGGGATGGTCTGAACCTGTTGGGTCTGTCCTCTGTTCTTTTTCTTCTCCTTTTGCTTTTGTTGTGATGGGACCACATACTCTGGGTTATGGGTGGTGCTCTCAGTTGTGGGTAGTGCTCCCTTTCCGGTTGTGTATGGTGCTCCCTCCCGAGTGTGGGTGATGCTCTCAGTTTTGGGTGGTGCTCCCCTCCAGGTGTGGGTGGTGCTCTCAGTTGTGGGTGGTGTTCACTTGGTTGTGGGTGGCGCTCTCTTAGTTGTGCTCAGATGCTCAATAGCGCTTGTGGCATACATGGGGGGAGGGCCAGGAATCGACCTTGTGGCCCTAGACTGTCTTTTGGCCAGTGCCTCTCAGGATCACAGTTCCTGGCCAGAGAAGGGAAGCAGGCAGCCAGGGCTGAGTGAGAAGCTCCGTGCCAGGAACAACATGGTTCGCCATCCCCGGCTGTGATAAGCCTGCCCTGCACGTGGCTGAGCACCCTGTCCCCTACACCCTTTGAAGCCTGACCCAGTCAGCACCTCCTGCCCAGACTCTTGCACCCACTGCCCAGACAGGGCTGGCTCTCCACTGGGGGGTCAGCCTGAGGGTTGGGGAACACCCCTCCTGGCTAGGCATGGACCAGCATGGACTTTGAGGCTTGACTGCAGGTTTGGGCACAAAGGTGCCCTGTGACACGGGCAGGGCCATCAGCTCAGTCCATTGTCCCTCCCCACAGGCAAGGGTAGCACAGCGGGGGTGGGGTGTGGGCGCCAGCCGCTCTCTCCCACCTGGGGCTGGACCGTTGATGTGGAGACCAACGGGCATCATTACTGGTTTAGAAGGCCAACACTCCCCAGGGTCCAGACCCAAAGTCCCTGCCCGCTGGCCCCTCGGTCAGCCCCAGCATCCTCAGCACCTTCCCCCATGCCCAGGTTCTGGGGTGACCCCGAGCAGCCCCAGACGGGGTGTGGGAAGCTCTCCCTAAGGGTTGGAGTCTGCACTCACCAGAACTGGGGCTGTGGGGGCATGAGGTTAGAGCACAGGGCAGAGGGGTGCCCCGTTCTGTGATGAGGGGGCCCACGGGGGGATGTGAGGCTAAGGGACCACACCCAAGGTCTACGGACAGACTCGGGGATGGGCAAACAGCCTGAGGCGAGAGGCTGGGCAGGGTTTTAGCCCTGGGCTGGGCTGTGCTCAGGGGAGGGGGGCCTTGCAGTGGGGGGCACCATGCCGCTTCTCTCCCCCGCAGAAGAAAAGCAAAGTGCATTACCATGCGGCCGTCATCATCAACTACCTGGGCCACTGCATCTCCCTGGTGGCCCTCCTGGTGGCCTTTGTGCTCTTCCTGCGCCTCAGGTGAGACACCCCAGCCCTGAGCAGGGGAGAGGGGGGCAGCGGGTGCCCCTGGGAGAAGACTCACCTCCAAGGACACAGGGCTGCTGCTCCCAGATCATTCGAGTGAGCCGGACTGGAGTTTTCTGTTATTATTCTTTGGTTTGGGGCCATACCGGGTGGTACTCAGGGGTTCCTCCTCGGTCTGCACTCAGGGATCGCTCCTGCCGGTGCTCGGGGGACCATAGGGGATGCCAGATCGAACCTGGGTCAGCTGCGTGCAAGGCAAACGCCCCCCCCCCCCCACGCTGTGCTTTCTCTGTCCCTGGAGCTTTGATCTGGGGGTGAGGGTAGGGCTCTGCAGAAGGGCCCTGGAGGCATCAGGGAGTCCTGCTCCCAGCCTCAGTTTCCCCACCCGCCCAACGGGTGCAAGCGAGGTCTCTCGGGCCCAGGAGCATCCGGTGCCTGAGAAACATCATCCACTGGAACCTAATCTCCGCCTTCATCCTGCGCAACGCCACCTGGTTCGTGGTGCAGCTCACCATGAGCCCGGAAGTACATCAGAGCAACGTGGTGCGTGGAAGTGGGGCCTGGGGGCAGAGGGCAGGGGCTGGGGGTGGGGGGCTGCCCGTGCCCCTCCCCCACACAGGCTCACCTGGCTGGGGCCGGCCGCAGGGCTGGTGCAGGCTGGTGACCGCCGCCTACAACTACTTCCACGTGACCAACTTCTTCTGGATGTTCGCCGAGGGCTGCTATCTGCACACGGCCATCGTGCTCACCTACTCCACTGACCGGCTGCGCAAGTGGATGTTCATCTGCATCGGCTGGGGTGGGCTGCCCGCGGGGGGGTGCGGCAGGGGGGCACGGGACATGGAGCAGAAGCAGGCTGCAAGGTGAGGTCCTGAGGCTGTGCAGAGGGTGACGGCCATCCCCCCCCCCCCCCCCCGCCCAGGTGTGCCTTTCCCTATCATCGTGGCCTGGGTCATTGGGAAGCTGAACTACGACAATGAGAAGTAAGTTCCCTGCTTCCTCTCCCCAGCCCGGCCAAGGATGGACCCTCTGGACCCTCTCCCAACCCCTGGAGTCCTCCAGGGCCAGTTTCTTCATGGATAAAGGGGCCCCGAGGCATCCTAGGTGGAGGTGCTCTGTCTGGGGGCGGGGGATGGACAGCATGTCCAGGACCTTTGCTCTGCTCACGGTCCTGGGGTGCATCTGCTTTGTGGCTTTGTCACTGTGGGGCTTTGTGAGCTGGGGCTGGCCACTGTGGTCTCCTCATCTGTGAACTTCTTGAGGGGCCAGGGAGGTAGCGTGGAGGAGAGGACGGGCCTTGCACGGTCGAGCATGTCAGGCAAAGCTAGGCTTCCCATACAGGGTACACGAGTCTGGGGCACAGGGGGTGTTTCCCATTGGTGAGCACTTAAACAAGAGTCCAGGGAGCTCACCAACACCCATCCTGTGTCAGGGCTCCTCCAGCTGCCGTCTGAAATGCGGTAGTGATCTGCCACAGTGCTAATGTTACAGTCTCCCCCATGGCTTAGAAAAGAACTGGGTCCTGGGCTGAGCCCCCAGAGAGTAGACGCCGCAGTCTGGGGTATGGCTCCAGCCCTGGGGAGCTTCTCCTGGCTCGGGTGCTCCTAGTGCTGGCGAGGTGGAGCACCTCTGAGGAAGGCGACAGGCATGGGGGCAAAGTAAGAGGCGGCACCTTCAGTATTGTTCTAGAACCTTTTAAGTGGGATTCTGGCCACTTCCAACGCAGTGCCCCCCACAGTGAGGGGAGGGGGCCACCCCGTCCTGGGTCTCCACAAGGGGTCTAGAATATGATGAGCATGTTTGGGCAAGACCTCTGGACATTGGTCAGCAGAGCAGGTCACAGACACCTGAGGGTGGTCTGTGTAATGCCCCAGGGGCATTACTTGTTCAGGTGTGTGAGTGAAATGAGGGAAGGGAAAAGAGAAAGAATGGCAGTGGTGTGTGTGTGTGTGTGTGTGTGTGTGTGTGTGTGTGTAAAAGGAGCTAGAAAACCTGAACAGCCCTGGTGTGTGTGTTCTGAGCAACTGTGTGTGTGTGTGTGTGTGTGTGTGTGTGTGTGTGTGTGTGTGTGTGTTCTCAATGGCTCTGGGCCGCCACCTAGTGGTCACAGGCTGATACTGCAGCAGCAGGGGTGAGGGTGAGACTCCACTCCGGCTCCTCTTTTTGAGACAACCTTTAAAGCAGTCGAGCATTTTCACCTAAAATATCGGCTCCTTGTTCGTGGGCGCCTCCTGAGGTCCAGGCACCAGGTCTGCATGGCCGTGTGGGGCATCCCCTCTGTCCTGTGCCCCCTCCCGCCCCAGCCCTCCCGTGGAGCCCCTGTGGGAAAGTTCCAGCAGTTCTGGGGCAGAGGGCGGAGCACTGAGAATCTGGGCACTGGCCCTGGACAGGTGTGGCGCGGGCCTCCAAGGGGACACTGCGCCACAGTGCACATGTGCACGGCTCCCCATGGACCTGCTGGGCGCCCCCCCCCAACACTGCACTGGTGTGCATGCACGAAGTCATACACTGGGGGTGGGGAGCAGAGGTGTGCGGTCAGACCTGCTGCACTTCGGGGTCTCTCCCTTGACCCCCACCTTGGCACAGTGTCTGGTCCCACTGGGCCTCTCAGGGTCCAGGTGTTGCCCATTCTGCAGTTGTCCAGTTTGGTCTCTCCGGTGTGGCTTGGGACCCTCTCCCCACCACTGACCCACCTCCAGACGCTGCCTTTCTCTCACCCCCCTTCTAGGTGCTGGTTTGGCAAAAGGCCCGGGGTGTACACCGACTACATCTACCAGGGCCCCATGATCTTGGTCCTGCTGGTATGAACCTGGGCGGGGACAGGAGTGTGGCAGGTGGGGAGGAGCTGCCTGTGCCCATTGTGCCCCCAAGGGAACCCTTTCCCCAGAAAGGGGGGAGGGGAGGTACAGGGATGGACTCCAGTAATAAAGCTGGAGGGAGGACGGGGCACCCCACGCCAGATTCGGGGCACCATCCTTTGCACCCACAGATCAACTTCATCTTCCTGTTCAACATCGTCCGCATTCTCATGACCAAGCTGCGGGCATCCACCACGTCGGAGACCATCCAGTACAGGTAGGTGGCCCCGATGGGGGAGGGGATCACGCCCCCCCAGGCCCCGCCCCATGGCTGCATCCCTGCCCTCCCCCACCAGGAAGGCCGTGAAGGCCACGCTGGTGCTGCTCCCACTCCTGGGCATCACCTACATGCTGTTCTTCGTGAACCCTGGTGAGGACGAGGTGTCCCGCGTGGTCTTCATCTACTTCAACTCCTTCCTGGAGTCCTTCCAGGTACGCTGCTCGCTTGGCCCCGGGAGCGTGTCCGCCCACCTCCGGCTGTCGTTGACTCGCCCTCTCTCCCCTCGCCAGGGTTTCTTCGTGTCTGTCTTCTACTGTTTTCTCAACAGCGAGGTAAGGGCCCCAGGGACCCGGGGCTGGGCCTCCCTCCCCCCCGCTCCTCCCCCTGCCCTGCCCAGGTCACTCTCCCCTCACTACACCCCTGCTCAGTGCTGCTCGGGGATGAGCCACCTCTCTGCATGGTAGGCCGGGGACACCTGTCTCATGAATGAGTCTGTGAAATGGGTCATTTAGACCCCAGAAGCAGGGGCCAGGGAAGTAGCTCTGGTGTAGCCTCACATGCGAGGGCCCCGGTTCTGCTAAAAAGTAAACCAGACAGGAAACTGAGTCTGGGGCAGCAGTGCTGAGTGAATGTGGCCTCAGATGAGTCCCAAACAGTGCCCCCCTGTGCGCTGTCCCCCCCCCCCGTGCACTGTCCCCTCCATGCACCATCCCCCCTGCCCCCTCCCCCCTCCCCTGCACTCTCTCCTCCTACCCTTCACCTGGAGTCGTGCAGCCCTGGGGTGCACGGTCCTCAGACAGGCTCTACTCTGTGCCCAGGTCCGCTCTGCCATCCGGAAAAGGTGGCACCGCTGGCAGGACAAGCACTCGATCCGCGCCCGGGTGGCCCGCGCCATGTCCATCCCCACGTCCCCCACACGTGTCAGCTTCCACAGCATCAAGCAGTCCACAGCGGTCTGAGCCGGTGGGAGGCCGATCCCCAGGCTTGGGGGAGACTCTTCCTCCCCACACCCTGTGCCCCAGGAACAGCTCCCCACAACGGCCTGGCCAGTCCCCGCTGAACAGATGCTCAAGGGCAGACAGAGCCAGAGGCCGGGCCAGCTCTGGGGCCCTGGTCCCTGCCCCCCAGGAAGGGAGGGTCCCCCGAGGGTCTGATCCCAGTCCCTGCGGCTGTCCTCAGTGGTAGGCGTCCACGAACCTCACCGGAAGTTACAGAAATTGGGGGTGCCCTGGCCTGAGAGTTCAGGAGTCCCTGGCAGTGTCCTGGTGATTTCCTGGTCCCCGGGAAAAGCCCGCACCCCCAACCCTCCTCACGCCACCTCAGGAGGGGCCCTGCCTCGCTGCCTTGTCCCCTGGGCTCCAGTACCCTGGCCAGTACTCCCCGCCCCCGGCACCCACGCTGCGCTCATCGGTGCCCCACCTCCCACCCGGTCGCTTCCCATTCCATGAGAAGATGGGGTGTGGGGGTGACCCATGATCTGAGAGCAATAGCCAGATAGTGCCCTGGTCAGAGCCAGTCTGCTGGGGGCGGTCACTCTCCCCGCAGGGCCCAGCCTCAGTCTCCCCGCAGGGGCAGTACATGGACAAGCAGGATAGTGGCCCATGGGGCACCAACTCACAGACCACTCACACCCCAGCGTGGACTAACCCCTCCCCCACTTCTGGACCTTTGCCATCCAGACAGGGTTTTGGGGGATGTGGGCTGAGAGGTGAAAGGTACCGCTGTAAATAACACTATTTATCTTTCAACCACATCTTTGTCGGTCTTCATCTGAGGGTGCCTCAGGGGCACGGGGGCTGCTCAGCCTTTGGGGCCACCGTGGGGCTGGGAAGGGGTGCTGGGTGGGCCTGGGGGATGGGACAGGCTGGGGGCAGGTACAGATACACCCTAACTCTGAGGACATTTTCCACCAGTGTCTATCCACAACTTATCCCACCAGGCACCTGGGGACGCTACAAGTCACAGAGCCTGAAATATCAGGGCCCAGAGCTGGGCTCAAGATGGGACTTGGGGAGCTGGAGTGATAGCACAGCGGGTAGGGTATTTGCTTTGCACACAGCCGACCTGGGTTCGATTCCCAGCATCCCATGTGGTCCCCCGAGCACCGCTGGGAGTGATTCCTGTGTGCGGAGCCAGGAGTAACCCCAGTGCATCGCCGAGTGTGACCCCCCCCCCCAAAAAAGATGGGTCTTGGGAGGAGCTCAGGGTCCTGGGACCAGTGTTGTAGGGGGTAAAGGTTGGGGATTGGGGGTAGGGGTTGGAGATTGGGGTGGGACTAGGGAATCCGGGGTACTGCGGTGGGGACATCAGGGACTCAGGGCCGGCCTGGGGGTCCTGGAATCTGGGCGAGGGAGTGCCAGGAAAGCAGCCAGGGGTGCAGACTGCCACAAACAGGTCCTGAAGTCCCGCCTTTGGTGACGAGTCGCTTGAGAATCCTTTGTCCAGGGCAGCGGGGCCCAGGGTCAGCGCAGGCCCTGCTTGGGGTGCCTGTGTATTTGTGGCTGGATCAGTAGTCCAAGGAGGCCTGATCCAGCACAGGGCAATCTGGTTTTAGATGTAAAATGCTCAGAAGCTAGAATGGACCCATTCAACCATGGCGGACCCCATTAAAGACACCTCACAAAGTCCACCTGCCACCACTTCCCACTTCCAGAACTTTCTGACCTGCCTGGTGCCCTCATTCCCACTACCCAGCTACCCAGCCACCCAGCCTTTCCTGTCCTCCCTACAGCCCTCACACAACTGCCTCCTGTCATCCCTAGGCCCCAGCCCCTCAGGATGGAGGATTCTGACAAGTTCTTTCAGGTCTGCTTCTTCCCTTTCCAGGACATTCCCCAGGCCCGTTGGCACTGCAGTCGTAGGGCTTACCCTTCACGCAGAGATAAATACATAGACCACCCACCACCAGCCTCCTGATGGGGCCCGGGATGGGGCCAAGGGGTCCAGTTCAGGACTGGAAGAATGAACCTTCCACAACGGATTTTCTTTCTAACGCATCTTTCATTCTTTGGGGTACACCTGCAATTGCTCGGTCAAGTAGATAACTCTGTTGGACAGAGGAACCCGCCCGCTACCGTTTCTTCCGCAGCTGCTCCAACTCACTCTCCTTCCAGCCCAGCCATCGGGGGCTGCATCCCTCCAGGGCTTCCCCATGCTTGTCACTTGGATCCTCACCATCCAACTCTTAGTCTTTGTACTTGGCCTACACCTGGCTATACTCAAGGGTTACTCCTGGCTCTGCACTCAGGAATTACTCCTGGCAGTGCTCGGGGGACCATATGGGATGCCGGGGATCGAACCCGGGTCAGCCACATGCTAGGCAAGCATCCTCCCCGCTGTACTATTGTTCTAGCCCCTCATTGCTTGGTCTTAAAGAACCCCATTGGTTGTGAAGATCCTCCCAGGATGGGATGTGCATGCTGAAAGTACACTATAGACTGAACATTATTGCCACTCAATTCCTCTTTTGCAAACCACAGCACTGAAAAGGAGAGAGAGAACAAAAGGGAATGCCCTGCCACAGAGGCAGGGTGGGATGGGGTGATGGGGGGTGGGAGGGATACTGGGATTAGTGGTAGTGGAGAATGGGCAATGGTGGAGGGATGGGTACTCGATCATTGTATAACTGAAACCCAAGCACAAAAATTTGTAAATCTACAACTGTACCTCATGGTGTTTCACTAATAAAAAAAAACAAATAAAAAGAACCCCACTGGGCCAGAAAGATAGGCTAGCAGGAAGGCACTTGCCTTGCATGAGGCCCGACCAGTTTCAATCCCTTGCAACCCAAAGTCCCACCAAGATTAAGCCCTGAGCACTGCTGGGTGCAGTCCCAAATTATAAAAACAAATAAAAAAACTTCCCCATGGGTTCCAGGAGCTAGCGCTGGAGTGAAGGCACAGCCCCAACACCACATGCACCCCGAGTGTAGCCAGGTACATCCCTGAAAGCCCCCAAACACCACTAGGGCAACCCCAGTACATCTCCAGCACCCTCACACTCTTGCATGGAATCATTAGCTCGGTCAGCCGAGAATCTCAGCGAGGGGCCCTATAGTCTCCTGAGCTCAGAAGACCCCAAAATAAATGATAAGATAAAAACTTATCTGTCAAGAGCAAGGCTCTGAAGGAGACCCTGGCTGGAATGTCGGTAGCTGGGGAGAGTCTGATCACGGTACGGAGTGCCTGCATGTAGAGACGTGCCTGTGGGGACAGGGGCAGCGCCAGGAGCTGCCTGTCCCTCTGCACCCACTGTCCGTCTCACCGGGCTCTGTTCTCCCGATGAGTGTCCACTCACCAGCCTCTGTCCTCCGCTGCATTTCAGACCTGAGCTTGTTGCTGGGACTTAATGTTGGTGTTCTAACGTTCGATCTGTTTGATCCACAAAAGCGAGAATAACGTGCTCTCATGATTGTGCAAGACCCTGAATTGAGTCAGGCAGTCAATGCTGTGAACCAGGTGTGAGCAAGACGGTGGTCCAGGGCGGGACTGGACCAGACAATCCTGAGCCTCCAAGGCCAACTGCCCACCCGTGTGCTCTCCTGCTTGCCCCCTGCTGGCCTGTTGAATAAGAGCATGACACTGACTAAGGTGTGTCAGGTGTGTCAGGTATCACAGGACCAGTGGAGAGACCAATGTCCCTTTCTAGCCAAAAGTAGTTTTGGAATATGGACCTTCTCCCCAGATCCCTAAAAGCATTTAATGCACCTCCTTCTGGGGGAGGGGACAGAGGACCTGAGGGGGCGGGGAACCAGATAATCAAGACTTCTAATGAATCATCTTACAAGCCTTAAGGGCAAATGCAGGTATCTCATAAACCCTCTTAAGGACAAATGGAATCTGATTGGTCAGTCCTAAAATCCTTATTTGCATAAGGGCATATGCAAATAAGCATTTTACAAACACTCTTAAGGTTATACGCAATCTAATTGGTCATCCCACAATCCCCACAAGCACCCTCATTTACATATGCTACCCCATTGGTTTTCCCAGGATAACAGGATAACCAGAAATAACGAAGGGGCAGGGCTTGTACACAGGTCACTGCAGAGCAGGGCAGATGGCAAGGAAAAGGGAGGAGGAGCCAAAAGAAGACCAGGAGAGGCCAGGAGGAAATGAAGAAGTGGTGAGCAGGGAGCAGGGAACTGCAAATGACATGGAGGAGGCAGAAAAAGAGAAGAGGAAGAGCAATTGGGGTTGCTATCTGAGATATGAAGGCCGGGGTTCTGGGGCTGCTGACGATTAAACCAGAGTCAGCCCATAGATAAGTGCCTTCGTGAACTGTAAAATAAAAGGCTGTGAAATAAGAGGCCGAGACACTGGAGACACCAGTGCTGGATGTGCTCACCTCAGAGGGCCACGCACGGCACCTAGGGGACCCAAGGCAGCCGGACACAGGAACTGAAGGACAAGGACCAGGGGCCAGAAGAAGAGAGCAGAGGGTCACCAAGCGGCCTCGCTGGCTCAGGGACCTGATTGGTCCAGGTAGCTCCAGAGATGTGCCAAAGGAGAGAGCTAACTAGCCCCGGGCCATTCTAACCCCCAGGGCATTGCCTCAGGGAATGACATTTCAGTCATGCAGAACCAATGGGGGCCACAGCTAGAGGGATGATGCATAGCTACAGGCTTCGACTGTGCAGTGACCCCACGTTGTAGGGGTGCAGTGAGTCCATATAACAAGCCCAGCCTCAGTGCTCACTAACTGCCTGGCGTCCTGGGGGCCATCCCTGTGCTGGTGCAAGGGTCTCATTGCTCAGCAGCTAAACAGCAGCAGAGGACAGAGGTGGCTGAGGGGCGCATGGGGCCAGCTGAGATTCTCAACACCCTTCCCCTTCCTTCAGGGGGGCAGCCCCCAGCGGGCAGGGCTGGGCACGGGCTCCCAGCTTTGTGACTTGATAGGTGTGGCCCCGCTGCTCTGTGACAAAGAGCCACACCCTGCCTGCCGGTGAAGGGACCAGGGGGCTGAGAGAAGGCTGCCTCCCCAGCATGTGGCAGCGGTAGGTGGCCGAGGAGGATGGCATGCCAGGGACCCCTCCTCCTGCTCCTTCTCCTCCTCCTGGCCCGCACCACGGTCCAGGGGGAGTATGGCGTGGCCCATGTGGTGGCGGGGACATGGAGCAAAGACTACTGCGTCCTCTTCAGCTCTGACCAGGTCACCCTGCCCAGAGAACTGCGCCACGCCCCACTCCTGCCCCTGCACGATGGCACCACCACCTCCTGGTGCCCGGGCGAGACCTCCTCCTCCTCCTCCTCCTCCTCTCAGGTCCTGGCCCGTGCCCCCCGGCCCCTCCACCACACCACTGCCATGGTCCTGAGAGGCAACTGCAGCTTCCACGCCAAGGGCTGGCTGGCTCAGGACCACGGCGCCCACGGGCTGCTCATCGTCAGCCGGGCCAACGGCCAGCAGTGCTCTGACACCCCAGGAGCCCCCCAGGAGCCCATGAAGGCCCTGCCTGACCTGGCCATCCCTGTGGCTGTGCTGCGCTATGCCGACATGCTGGACATCTTCAGCCACACGTGTGGCCACCCTGCCCCAGTGCGCGTGGCCCTCTATGCGCCCCCTGAGCCCATCCTCGACTACAACATGGTGGTCATCTTTGTCCTGGCCGTGGGCACCGTGGCCGTGGGCGGCTACTGGGCTGGTGTGACCGAAGCTGACCGGCTGCAACGGCACCGGGCCCAAGGAGGTGGAGGCGGGGGGCCCGGTGGTGACCCCCACACTGAAGCCACGGCTGTCACCACCACTGGGGCCCAGGCCAGGCTGCTGGAGGAATATGATGAAGACACGCCCGTGGACTTCTCCCCGGCCATGACGGGCGCCGTGGTGGCCATGTCCTGCTCCATCATGCTACTGCTCTACTTCTTCTACGACCACTTCGTCTACGTCATGATCACCATCTTCGGCCTGGGCGCGGCCACGGGCCTCTACGGCTGCCTGGCGCCCCTGGTGCGTCGCCTGCCCCTGCAGCAGTGCCAGTGGGCCCTGCCCGGCCACCGTGCCTGCCTGCCTCTGCCGCTACTGCTGCTGGCCGGCCTGTGCGCCATGGTGACCGCCCTCTGGGTGACCTACCGCAACGAGGACCGCTGGGCGTGGCTGCTGCAAGACACGCTGGGCGTGGCCTACTGCCTCTTGGTCATGCGACGCGTGCGGCTGCCCACGCTCAGGAACTGTACCTCCTTCCTGCTGGCCCTGCTGGCCTTCGACGTCTTCTTCGTCTTTGTCACCCCGCTGTTGACCCGCACAGGTGCGAGCATCATGGTGGAGGTGGCCTCGGGCCCCACCAACTCCCTGAGCCAGGAGCGGCTGCCCATGGTGCTCAAGGTGCCGCGGCTGCGGTTCTCAGCCCTCACGCTGTGCGATCAGCCCTTCTCCATCCTGGGCTTCGGGGACATCGTGGTCCCCGGCTTCCTGGTGGCCTACTGCCACCGCTTCGACGTGCAGATCCACTCCCGCCAGGTCTACTTTGTGGCCTGCACCGTGGCCTACGCCGTGGGGCTGCTGGTCACCTTCCTGGCCATGCTGCACATGCAGATGGGCCAGCCCGCCCTGCTCTACCTGGTGTCCAGCACGCTGCTCACCAGCCTGGCCGTGGCCATCTGCCGCCAGGAATTCACGCTCTTCTGGACGGGCCAGGTCAGAACCAAGTGCCCCGCCCGGCTCCCGGTCAGCCAGTGCTGGGTCCCTGCAGCCGGCTCTGGGCGGAGGGGCCCGGCCAGTGAGCTGGAGGACTCAGCCGAGCACCGGCCCATGGCTGCAGGCGACAACCTGGAGGAGGAGGATACAGCCGAGATCATCACCATCTCCGAGGACGAAGCCAGCGGCCTGGGGAGCCCCACGGAGAGTTCGGAGGGCTGGAGCGACACCGACCTGGATGCCGCCGGGGCCTCGGACGAGCGGCTGCCGCTGATGCCTGTGGCCATGCTCATTCCACTGATGCCACTGATGCCCCCACCCTCGGAGCTGGGCCACACCCACCCCCAGACCCAGGACGCCAGCATGCCCTGGATGGGCTTCCACAAGCGAAGGGGCCTGCACGTGAAGAGGAGCAGATCCACCCAGGCGCCCCTCTGAACGGCCGCCCCGCCACGCAGTTCAGCACGATCAGGTGGGGAGCCACGGAGCGGAGAGAGATCGAGGCATTAAAGACATTCACTACACCCCAGGCCCAGCTCTGTGCTTGCTAGGCTGTCAGGAGCCATCACAAAACACAGCCGGGCTGGCACCGAGGCCCACAGAGGGCCCGGGATTTGAACAGACTTCAAGCAAAGTCAGGATTCACTTCCAGAACTTAACCAGGCAGCAGATCCTTCCACCCCCACCCCACCCCCAGCTCCTACCTTGGCCTTGCACAGCCCCTGCCCTGTCCTGCAGCGTCTGTCTGACCCCGCTGCCCCCATGCTCACGTGGCCGCGCTACTCCAGCTTCACCACAGCTCCAGTGTGAGGCATTCCCCCCAACCCCCGTTCCTTGCATGCTCCCATGGCCCATTGGAGAAGAGAGGACTGCGCATGTGCACATGTATGCACATGGATGCGAGCACGTGTGAGTCTGTGTGCTTGTGAGTGTGTGGGTACAAGCGTACAAGCGTGTATGTGGGTATTACAAGCACATGTATGTGTGCTAGCAAGCACTCACGTAGGAGTGAATGTGTGTGTGAGTGTGTGTGCATGTGTGTGTGTGAGCTTCCTGGTCGCCCCAGTCATGTTAGCTGCTTTGGCAGGGAGATCCCTGTCCCTTTCTCTGCCCAAGGGGTGTTTTGGTGAATGCAGGAATTAAGGAGCAGGTGAATGTAGAACTAAACGAACAGGAGGTGAATGCGGGGGTGGAGGAGAGCGAATGAGGGGGTGACCCAGTCTCTATGTGAAGGAAAAGGGGAACACACAGGGCAGCCCCCCAGCCTGTACCCACCCTGTGCTCTGCAGGCCCAGGGTGTGCAAGTGAACCCCTAGGGGCCTTGAGTTGCGGGGGAGGCATCCAGGCAGGACAGGCAGCCCCAGCTTGGCCAAGAGACCCCGCCTGGTGGGGGCAGCGCCCCCTGCTGCCAGCACCATCTGGCCTGGACACAGGCTTGCTGGCCCTGGCACTGGACCAGTCCAGACAGCCTCCCCATGGCTGACCTGCGTCAGTGGGCCTGCAGGGGGCTTCCATCAGACCCAGGGAGGGCTGCACAGCGCCTGGACCTCTCCGTCCTCCCAGGGCCTGGACACTGCAGATGCCAAGGCCTCTCCACCCCCTGGGGCCTGGAAACTGTGACTGCCAGGGCCTCTCCATCCTCCCAGGGCCTGGACACTGCAGATGCCAGGGCCTCTCCACCCTCCTAGGGCCTGGACATTGCAGATGCCTCAGTCCCAGGAACTTGAAGGCCAAGAATGAGTCTCCTGGCTGGCAGAGGGAGCCTGGGGAGGAAGGGTCAGTCCCAGCCTGTCCACCCAGGGCTGAGGAGTTCCTGTTCCTCTCCTCTCACTTGACCTGAACTTTGTGGGGAGCATAAATGACCCCCCAAGAGGGTCCTGAGATCAGACCCTGGTGGACACTGCTCAGGGGGCAGCGGGTGCCGGGGGCACAGACACTGTCCCCCAGCACAGCCTGAGGGCTTGGGTCCTCACAGGGCAGGACCTCTGTGCCCCATGCCAGCCCCCCTTTGGCACGCACACGTGGACCTGAGACACCCCCACATGCAGCCGTGCACGCAGGACCGAACTCAGCACTAGCATGTGTCCTGGGACGCCCCGCCTGACCCTCTGCCAGGCCTTGCCCAGGGTTTTCTGGGGCTTCATTCCTGCCCAGGGGCTGTGCTTTCCCTTGTGTGACCTTCGACCCCAGTGAGGACCCCAGGAGAGTTTGATGCTAGAGTTTGCGGATTCCCCAGACTGTGAGAACCAGAGAGGGGCAGGGGCTGCCCGAGGTCACACAGTTAGTGGGTCAGCAGAAGTGGAACAAGACTCTGGTCCTAGGCTGCCCAGGCCAGCTGCTGCGCCCAGGCCCTGTTCTCACCTCCCTTGCCCCGGGCATTGCCCTGAGAGCAGACTATGCCTTCCTGGGGCAGCCCATAGGCAGTTTCCGCAGAGCAGCTCTGTGTGCCGCTGAAGAAGGTCTTGCTTCAGCCAGAAGTCCGCCTCCAGCTGGTGCAGAGCCATTGCCATGGGCTGGAGTCCAGGGGCTGTTTCTTGCACTGTGACACCAGCAATGGAGACCAATAGGTGGGACCAGCCCTGGGAATGCCTCTCTCTCTTTCTCACTCACACTCACACTTCCCCTGGGACCTCCGCTTCTTCTTCTGTCAAATGGGCTGCTGTGAGCAAGATCACACAGGTGTGTATAACCAGAGAACCCTGTGAGCACCGTCGAACCAGCCCCCCATTGTCTCCTTCACTACACTCAGGTCTGACTTAGAAACGGTTCCCAGGACATGTCGGCAGTCTCCATGTGAAGGAAAAGGGGAACCCACGGGGCATCCCCCCAGCCTCGGCACACCCCCAAATGCCAGCATTCCTGCACCTCATAGCTCCTTGGGGCTGAACATCCCGAGGTGGGATCTTTCTCTTCTCTTGGTCCCACTCATGCCCATGGGGGGGTCAGTGCCTGGGTCGTGGAGGGGTGAGGAGGGCGCAGAGCCAAGGGTTTTTCTGAGTTCACCTGTACCCTGGGTTTCCTGAAGGTTGTTCCACGTGCCTGTGCTGCCACCTGCTGGTCACTGGTATCAGAGCAGACGGGTCACACCCTAGAGATCAGGTTAAACCTTTGGAGGAACTAGTCAGGATGATACTCAAATATATACTCCCCAAATTTAGATCTGAGACCCTGATATCCCAGACTGTTAGGGGGTAGAGGTGTTCTGGAGAGGCATTGAGAAAACCCCGGCAGTTTCTGGAAAGAAGCACAGCATCCTCCATGCTTGAAGATGATCCGGGGCCTGAAGCTCCCCCCAAGTCAGAGTTCACAGCCCAGGGCTAGGTCTGCCCATGAAAGGGGCTCCCCAATGGCCTTCCCTGCCCCCAGGGCCCCACACAGAAACCAAGGAGCCCACAAACTCCCCGTCCTCCCCACCCCATCTGAACACACACACACACACATATACACACATTCATAAACTTACAGTCACATATACAGACTCACACATGCATACTCACAATCACACATTCATACTCTTACACAGTCACACCATACTCACATACACACATTCACACGCACACACACCTACTCACATTGGTCACTCTCACACTCTATCTCATAACATTCCTACGCTCACACTACAGATACACGTGCACTCACATATACTCTCACCCCCACATAACACATTCACGTACACAGTCACACACTGACTCACACATTTACTCACACATTTATGCACACTTACCTTCATTCTCATAGTCACTCACACATTTGCACACTGACATTCGCGCATACAAAGTCACACACACACAGTAGTGATGCCTCCTGTGACTGCCAACGAATCCCACCCAGCACGGCTCCAATTATCTTCAGGAGGAGCTTACGGGGTTCCCCTTCGTGGCCTCTCGCCGAGAGCTCTCCTGGGTCAGTGGGCTGAGCCCACGCCCCACTCCCAAGCCCACCTGGGATGGCAGAGAGACCCAGGAAGAGGTGGCCAGGAGGGAGACTGAGGCCACTGCTGGGAGAACCAGGGGCTCTGAAACCCCAAATCATATCTCAAAGTGCCTTGAGATGACTTCGCCGGCCCCCTAAGGCCAGAAGTGGGAGGCCAGAGTCATAGCACAGTGGGAAGGGCGCTTGCCTTGCACACGGACAACCCACATTGGATCCTCAGCATCACCTCCAGGAGTGGTCCCTGAGTGCAGAGCCAGGAGTAAGCCCTGAGTACCACCAGGTGTGCACCCCCCCCCAAAAAAAGGGAAAGAAATGTGAAATCTTGTCGGGGGGAGGAAGGCAGTGGGTTCTGGATGATGGTGCTGTCGGAGCATCCAGCTTCCTTCTGGGACATGGTCACACAGCAGGCTGGTAGCAAGAACCTGGAACTAACCCAGACCCTGGGCAAACGGGAGGCCTTTCTGGGGCACAACTGCTGCTTTGCAGGAGCCACATCACATGCCCCCGTGACCCCAGCATACTTGCTCTCAAGGTAGGAGGCCCCTTGGTCCAAGGAAAGAACATCTCTGGGGAAATCTCAGCTTCTCCTAACATCGGCAGGGAGATCTTTGCCACTGCCTACATTTTTGGGGGGGGATGAGAGGTGGTTATGAGTGTGTGCATGTGTTTTAGTCATATCCAACAGTGCTCATGAGCTACTCCTGGCCCCATGCTCAGAGATCACTCTCAGGTGGTGTTCAGTGGATCACACAGTGCCAGGGATCCAACCTGGGGATCCCACATTCAAAGCTCCTTTGAGCCACTTCCTCGACCCTGTCTGCAGTTTCTGATCAAAACAATGACATGAACCTACACACACACACACACACACACACACACACACATACACACACACACACATTACCTCCAGGAAACCTCATCCATCACATCCAGCTTCCAAGATTTGAGCCCAGGGTAGGTCTGGTCACCATCCACCCTGTCTAATCCCTAAATCTGGTCCTGTGCAATTGAATAATCCACCCTACCCAATCAAAACCTAACCCCCAGAATCTGCTTGCGTGGAAGGAGAAACAGGGCTTTGCAGATACAGTTAAAGAGGCTGAGCTGGACCGTTGTCCTGCATTATTACCAAGTGGGTTTGAAGTGCCTTGAATGTAACCCCTAAGGCCCATGTAAGGGCAGAGGAGGTCATGTGAAGATGAGACAGAAACTGGAGGGCTATGACCACAAGCCAAGGACTGCGAGCAACCACCAGCAGCTGAAAGAGACAAAAATTGGATTCTCTCCAAAATATCCCGAAAGCCCCTTGGTCAGCAGACTCGGTCTCTCAGCTTACCGATGCCCCTGATTTCCACTTGATTGCAGCCCTCTGGTCACCAGAGCCACCAAGTGCTTATTATGTGTTTGTTGGGTCTGGGTGGATGAGCCACACCTGGTGATGCTCAGCGCTTACTCCTGGCTCTGAGCTCAGGGATCCCTCCTGGTGGTGCCCAGGGAACTATATG